GTGTGGCTCGTATATAAATAATCAAATGACACGTATGAGTGCACATTCGTGTTTAACAATGAGTTTGAAGTAATAATATAAGTTTTCTCACATCGTAGGTAGGTGGATTTTTCTTTGAAAATCACCAAATGTACCTCTTTTTCTAAAGAACGTTAATAAACGTAATTATAAGATCCATGCATCACAAGTATTACAAATAAGGTAGTTTATTTTACTGGTATTTCAATAGTTCATCAAATCATAGATAGAAAAGTATGTATAATTTTATTTTACCTTTTCATACATCAGTGCTATTCTTATGTTTCTAAAATAACAAAAGACAAAATTCGCTTAATAATGAAGTTACCGTTAAAATATATTCAGGGCATAAAATTCAGATGAGAGATAAAATGATGAAATTATTCATGAGACTTGTAGATTTTAATGATAAAGACTAACATAAGACTCGTGTTTTTCATGTGCTTTCAAAAATATTTTATAACAAGATAATCCTTAGTATTGATAAGAGAAATATTGTTATATAAGGCCTAAAAAAAGTCTCTGGAAGCTTTTTTATCTAAGAAGTAGCTGCATGACTTTGCATAAAAATAAGAACTTGAAGAAATAGTTATATGAAATTATTTATCATCCAATCTGCGAGTCGATGAGAAGATTGGGTGGGATACAGAAGATTGGGTGGGATACAGAAGATTGGGTGGGATACAGAGGGATGCCACGGTTTCTGGTACGCAAGCTAGATAGAAAAAAAAAAAGTAAATTGTCTATCTGTTAGTGTTGAAAAAACACACACACATTTAAGTGCCAAAATAACTCATCTCTCAATAGTGTTTGACCATGAAGTTACGGGGTTCAGGCAGGTACCACACTTAGGCACCTTACAGCGGCAAGTAAGTTTTATAGAGCTTTCTTGAACATCGCTAGCGAAAGAACGTGAAAATTGCGGAGAAAACGGCTTTAAAGAACTGAGGAACCAGTTCTTTTATTGCGTAGCATGTACGGCCACTAATGTGTTTTGTAGCCTTAAAACTCGTGTGAATTCTACCACGCTGATGGACAATTCAGAATCCAGATATCGCAAGGAGTTCAAATCTATATTCATATTTCAAAGAGAGAGTGAGAGTATCGCAAAGGCTGTGTTTGAAAATAAATCCACCAAATATGTCTTCCTGATTCGCAGACTGAGTGTTAAGTCATTAGAGCAACAGAAAAATGGTCGTGGAATTACTGAAACATGCAAATTAACGAAGTGGCTGGTAGAACTATTTTAAACATATCCATCCTTTCTATTAATTTTTATTGAATAATAAGAGGGAATTCTCAATAGCCGCGGCTGTAATTAGATCTCAAATCGGTCAAGAGATGGGGCTATGAGCTAATAGTTTGTACTTGAAAAAAATAACTCGGAGCCATTCTATGAACCGCTATGCTGCGGCTAATTACTACCAGATGATCCTTGAAGAGTCCTTAGACACATGACATGGACAATGTCTTGATTGATCACTGTATAACTTTTAGGAAGATCTTAACACAGACTTGAAACAGGGATCACACAGTTATACTAACAAGTCCATACATTATGTTTGAGCTAAAGTATAGCCTAATAGCTACAGCCTTAATAGTTATATAGTTCACTGATTATGAGCGTCAACTCCTTTTTTTTGTTTGATGCTTTGTGATACAATACATGGAGGCCAAATAGACGTATGTGTGAATGATTCTTGTATTCGAAATCTGTGCAATAATAAAATTCATGGTTAAATATTTGATGCTTATAAACGAAGTAGAGACGTATAAAACCTAAACAAATAACCAACTTCATTAAAATACCAGTTAAGTAACAGTCAAAATGCAATCATTATTCACTGTTGACATTTAAAGCACAACTAAAATGACCTTACTGAGTCTCGACTAGCAAACGTAACTAAGGTTAATGATCTATGTCAATGCACTTCGATCTCGGTGTCTCTGTTAATTTTCTCTCTGTAATTAAATTATGAAAAGCATACTTGATTGTATTCGTGATAATTGTAACAACTTCTTTAAATTATTCACAATTTTCTAATTAAATGTAAAGATCAAAACCACTCTGTGTCTAATAAAGTCAAGTTCACTGCATTTATAAAATCTACATTTATGTGTTTCGTTTCTTATTCAACAGAACCTATTGAACCAAATGAGTAATTCGTTTAATACTAGTTTGAACTTTTCTGCAGTACGATCCTAGTCAGAGATCTTCCAATCGGCGTCAGAAAAACAAACTTTGAGGATGTTAGGCATTGCACTCACAAAGATAGGGAATGAATTCGAACAAATATATAGCATGTGTCATGGTTATAGATTCCTCATTGATTGTCTACACACACAAAAAACACGGTACGGATTCAGTCTCACCAGGACGTAATAGCTCAGTATTTGTTCATGGGCATTGAGATATTGCCAAATATCTTTACATACAAACCTAGTATGTTTATAAAGATCCATTTGGGTGTTTAATTATGGTGCATTTCGATGAATTGAGTAAATTTGTAATACTCTTATACGGTAAAAACGGAAATAAAGTTGTATAGATATTTAATTATGCATTATGATTTCAGCTGCAAAGGTGTTACAATCGTTTTAAAAGTCTTTTTTAGCGATTTTGTTTCTGTTAAGGGGGGTCCTTCTCATATAATTAAATGCTTTTTTTTCTGAACTATTTTGCTAATTAAACCGTATACCTCGAATAGAATACAAAAACGTGCATTTCCTCTATTCTGACCTGAGAAAAATATATATAGTTAATTTGAGATTTTCAAACAAACGTTGACGAAGTTAATGCATGCCCCCCAGTGGCACAGCGGTATGTCTGCGGACTTACAACGCTAGAATCCGGGTTTCGATACCCGTGGTGGGCAGAGCACAGATAGCCCTTTGTGTAGCTTTGTGCTTAATTACAAACAACAAACAAACAAAGTTAATGCATACTTTTTTCATTTCAGAAATGGAAAATTTATTATTTTTCTTTTTTAAATGTAGAGAAAATATCATGGATAGTTAGATTTACACACATATATCGTTGCAAGCAAGTAATTCACATGGTGATCTGAAATTATATTAACAAATGTTTACCATAAGTAAATTATTTGGGTTAATATTGTGACCGGGCATCCAGTACTTTTTATTACATTAATTTTTTTCTTCCGACACTTTTTTTTTTACTTTGCACTCTTACGACAAGCTTGAGGCATAATAAATTTGGAGATACAAATTAAAACTTCATAATATTAATATCTCTAGCAAATATTCTTAATTTTTTTCGCTAGCTAGTGGTATATTCTCAAAAACGTTCACACGAAACAGTAACTCTGTAAATTTGACGTACTCCAAGATTTGAATAGGTATCTAGAAGAAAAACCCGCATTTCTGGCCAACGTAGTATACTTTAATAATGAGAATAGATACAAATACTTTTATAAAACCTGAAGTAGTATTTTCACTTTGCTTCTAATGAACCAATCTTCTTTATGTAAAAGGTTTTGTTAACACAAAATAATTAGAAAGATTTAAATTTCAAACTGTTTAGATTGCAATTGTATTATCATACATTAGCGATAATTTACTTATATCTGTATATTACACTGAGTAATCAAGAATATTTAAAGTTCAAATAATTTAGAATGCAATTACATAATTGGGCAGCAACGATAACGGCTTTATAAGAAATAATGGTTTTTTTTATAAAGGGGTATAATACTGGTTTTTCTGTATTATTAAAATGACTATATATATAGACATTCAAAGCCATTATCGTCAGGATTCGTAATTCAGTTACTGATTTTGATAAGAAATAATGGTTTTTTTATAAGGGGGGTATAATACTGGTTTTTCTGTATTATTAATATGACTATATATATATAGACATCCAAAATCAGTAATTGAATTACGAATCCTGACATTGCAACAGAAATGGTAGTCATTCTAACTTTGCTTTTAAGTCCGATGCTTTTAGAGTTAATAAGCTCGGATGTTGATCTTTGCCAGTATTGATGTACCTTAATTGTTTCCTTTTAACACTCTTAATTCTCAGAGCTTGTCTTGAAATGTTATTCCATATAACTTAAAAAGAAATATTGATTGACTCAAACATAAATAGTCGATTTTGTTGACTTGCACAAAAATCTACCTTATCTTACACCATGTTTTGTGTTTAATACTTCTGAAGGAGACATAGTTATTTCAATTTGTATTTTTGAGAAATGTATAAAAAATAATTTCGCTTAAATTGCCATTTAATTATTTAATATGCACCAGGTCGTATTTAAGTAGGTTACTTTTACATAACTATTGCTTCCACTTGAATGATGTATTAGATGAGTTTGTTTGTTAGTTTGTAATTAAGCACAAAACTACACAAAGGGGCTATCTGTGCTCTGCCCACCACGGGTATCGAAACCCGGATTCTAACGTTGTAAGTATTGGGTGAGTAACACAAACTACGGTTAACAAGATCCATTCATCTCTTTGTTGGCAGATGTAAGATGAAGTTTGTTTTCATTCCTCAGACTTTTACTCTCACATGCAAATACGTACACTATGTTGGTTGATCTGAAACATGTTTAAATTCGACAAAATATCCCAATGCATATATATTTAGTTATTTGGAGAAACTAGAGTCAGATTTCACTCCAGATTTAAATTTAGTAAACATGTGTTTATTGTTAAGCACAAAGCTATTTGTGCTTTACCCACCGCTGATATTGAAACTGGATTTTTAGCGTTATAAGCCCCAGATTTGCCGCTGATCCACCAAATCTGGAGGGGGGTCATAATAAATTTACGTGGTTGCAAAGTACAGATCTAACTTAATGATCCTTCTACGATTGGCAGTTACATTGTCAGAAATAATTTTAAAAGTTACGAGCGGAGTTAAGTATGAAACTTCGGATACACTGGGATTAAAAACGTCTATACAGTGTTCAAACTCTGTCTTAATAAATTAATTAAAAGATCTTTCGACTCACAGTTCATGTCCACAGTAACAGTTGAAGATTGTGGTAAAGTCTGGTTGTTGTTCGTGGCTTGACAGGAAAAGGTTGCCATCAAGTGTTGACGTTCCAGCATTGGAATCAGTAGAGTATTTTGTACTATGTTCTTCGAGATGATCTCGTACGTGGTGTCTAGAAGCACTGATTCTCTCCACCATGAGACAGATGGCAAAGGTTTACCTGTCAAAAATTACTGCTTCAGCGTCAACTACACGACTTGCATACCGCAAGAAACATGCATGAAAAAAAAAATACGAAATGCTAAGATAGGTAACATCATAGTTATTCTTTCCATGGGCTAAGATAGATATCATCATAATTATCCTTTGCATGCTAAGGTAGATAGATATAATATTAGCTATAATGATATCTATCTACCTTAGCATGCAAAGGATAATTATGATGATATCTATCTTACATGAAAAAGTAACTAAGATTATATCTATCTACCTTAGTATGAAAAAGTAACTAATATTATATCTATCTACCTTAGTATGAAAAAGTAATTACTTTATCATGCTAAGGTAGCTAGATACCATCATAATTATCTTTTCTGTTCATGTTTTAAAAATGGTTGAACGATATTATATTAAAAATTAATAATTCTAGAACCTTCTGAGCAGTTACTTATAACTAAATCGTAAGGAAGAATTTAGAAGTTGTAATGTAATAAATGAATGAACTGACTACTTTAACCTTAAGTTTGAGAGAAATTCACAGTAGATCGGTTACATATTTATTTTATTTTCATAGTTACACTACATTATGCGATAATAAAAGGAAATTATAGCACTGTAGCTTAGTTCCAGCTATGTCTATACCATTTCATATTGAGAAATATCATTATACATTGTATGATATACATATATATATGTATATATAGAGAGAAAATTGAACAAAGGTTTTAAAAAAAAGTCCACGAACAATTATAAAAGAAAGATAGCCACCAAAACATTTAATAAGCACTCAGAGCTTGTGAAGCAATATAGTAACCAGCGTAAGTGGTACGTAGGTATTGATCAAGTATCTTATCTCAACAGGATTGGAAAGTAATCCAGTACTCTAAGATTGCACTGTTGCTGGGTGAATTCTTATAAACGAAAGAACACTGACCCTTATAACATGTTAGTTCATTCTTACATACTTATATATACATCCATAAACGTTTATTTAATTTCATTATATTTTCGCATCTATTGTTATATGGACAACAATTAAGATTAGTTTTTCTGACAGCATATGAGTTGCTACATGGCACTATGGGTACTTTAAGGTCAATTAAGATTCGTTTTTCTGACAACATACGAGTTGCTACATGGCACTATGGGTACTTTAAGTTCAATTAAGATTTGTTTTTCTGACAACATACGAGTTGCTACATGACACTATGGGTACTTTAAGTTCAATTAAGATTCGTTTTTCTGACAACATACGAGTTGCTACATGGCACTATCGGTACTTTAAGGTCAATTAAGATTCGTTTTTCTGACAACATACGAGTTGCTACATGGCACTATGGGTACTTTAAGTTCAATTAAGATTCGTTTTTCTGACAACATACGAGTTGCTACATGACACTATTGGTACTTTAAGTTGTACCAACTAAGTAATATCATTCATTCAGTTTAAGTACATATTTGATAATATACATAAACAATGGATGTTTTTCACTCATCAGCAATTTAAACTTACTTATATTTACATAAAAATATTCACGAAAGTATGATTACGGGGATGCTTTGAACATTTACAATTATTAAATGAATTTGACTTTTATATACTTTCTTTAAAATGTTTAACCCCTGAGATGACGGACAGTATATACATATAAGTGTCCATTTTTATGCACTGAGTTATTACAATACTAAAGTATATATAGCATTCATTAATTCACTTTTGATGAAATATGTGAATTTAAAACGTGTTAATACATAAATGGTACACTCTAATCGACTCGTTTTAAAATTAAACAAATATATATGTCTGTATGATAGATAATTTAATTTCATGTAACTACATATGTCTATATGACAGATAACTTTATCTCTTAACAAATGTGTGGGTCTTAATAACACGTCTCAGCCACTACTGTGTCTGTCATATTTCAGCCTATCTAATGAACCCTTTAATATTGAACAAATATATATGTCTGTATGATAGATAATTTAATTTCATGTAACTACATATGTCTATATGACAGATAACTTTATCTTTTAACAAATGTGTGGGTCTTAATAACACGTCTCAGCCACTACTGTGTCTGTCATATTTCAGCCTATCTAATGAACCCTTTAATATTGAACAAATATATATGTCTGTATGATAGATAATTTAATTTCATGTAACTATATATGTCTATATGACAGATAACTTTATCTTTTAACAAATGTGTGGGTCTTAATAACACGTCTCAGCCACTACTGTGTCTGTCATATTTCAGCCTATCTAATGAACCCTTTAATATTGAACAAATATATATGTCTGTATGATAGATAATTTAATTTCATGTAACTACATATGTCTATATGACAGATAACTTTATCTTTTAACAAAAGTGTAGGTCTTAATAACACGTCTCAGCCACAACTGTGTCTGTCATATTTCAGCCTATTTAATGAACCCTGGTATTAGACGAAAGACTTGGCATTGGATGTAGTAGATATAGTATAGTTAACTTTCACTAATACGTTCTTATAATAATTTCACTCTTTGACTTAATAAAGCTTGTTAGTTTTAAATAATAATTTATTTAAGCGACGGCTTAGTGTCATTCACATGTGACAATGTTCCCTTAAAAAAGTAGACTTACTAAATCCTAATTTCCTAGTACAAGAGACACATAATTTACTCTAGTCTTCAGAGTCATGTTCACACGATTCATTGCCCGAGAATGTATTTGTTTTGACAAAGCTATATATAGCATCAGTTCTTCTAGAATATGTTTATCCACAAAAATTGTTTATATAACCAGTCATTCTAAAGTGATGGTCGTTGCTTGATCTTCATAATAATATAGTTCACCTGAAGAATATGTTTATTTTGCTAAGACTCGAATCAGTGATCTTGGATCTTTCAGATGTAAATAAAGTTCTCAACCAAGTATAAGTTCATAGTAAGCTTCCACGTTGGAGTTTAATTAGTTTAATAACTATTAGTACACCGTAATCCGCCTGCGCGTTCATAATTTTAGTCTTGTTAGGCTATTCATAGTTATTTGTTAAATGACGAGGCTTAGCACAATATATGCGATTATTGTATGTAGTATTCACAGACACAAAGACATGAGAGTCATGAACCCATTAAATTCACTCTTCTGTGTTCAGAAGGTTTGTCTATTTGAAGCGAACAACTAAACAATGGGATATATACACCTTGTCCACTGCAGGGATTGAGCTTCGGATTTTGGATTTATAAGTCCCCAAGCTTACCCCTAAGCCACGGAGGGTTGTGTGTGTGAAAATAAACCGAGATTAGAAATCTTGCTAAAGGCCTCTGTGGGAGAGATTTAATACGATTTGTTTGACTTTTCACAAACCTTAGCGAATCCTATTTTATCGTTCTATTCAGACTGATTAACAATACTGAATATATTTTACTAACCCTTAACTTTTTTTTCTTTACTAGTCTTTAGAATCACAACAGAGGGAATCCTCAACAGCTGCGGCCCTTAAAATTCTTTAAGGCAGGATTAAAATAAATTGATCTGCGAGACCTCCCCCCCCTTTATTTATTAGCTTTACTTTTCTGCGCCAGCAATATCAAATGTGGGGCGCGCGTATACCCGATTCGATTTTATTGTTCATCAGGATCTCTAACAGCCTACTATCCAATTCAAAATATTTTAGGCAGGATTAGAATAAATTAATGTATGAGACATTGGGCGTGGTCAAATACATTAATCGAAAGGGTTTGATCTCCTGAGTCCAAAACTGTACTTAGATCTCAAATCGATCAAGAGATGACGGAGCTATGAGCTAAAAGTTTGTACTTAAGAAAAAATAAAAAAATTCAGAGCTCTTCTATGAGACGCTCATCCGCGGCTGAAAATCGTTAGCCGTATATACTTTTACTTAATTTTATAACAAGAAGTTCTCGGGTTTACATATATATATATATATATATAAAATATTAGTTTTAGTTAAGTAACCAGTAAAACG